GGGGCCCTCTGGCATCTCAAGCCAGTTCTTAACCATCGCGCCACTCGGCCAGCCCGCGATGTGTACTCTTAAGGTGAGTGGAAGAGGGTGGAGATTGGCGATTCTGTTACAACACAGGGCGGGCTTATTCTTAAACTCTGTGGAAGTTTGTTTTTCTTGAGTGGACCTACCGCCACGTGTGTCTGTGGAGGTGGCTGTGGGTCAATGAAGGAGCCTAAGATTTTGTAAACCAAATTGGTGTCCACCTTCTCTGTCACTTCAGCACTCTGTTATATATATAATGGGAAATGAAGCTGTTTATTAAAAATAAGATTCCTTACAAAATACATGCCTTTTAATTCAAAAATTTATCCTCAGGAAATAATTAGGCAACTGCAAAAGGGGGTTATTACAGTATAATTTACAGTTGCAAAACATTGGGAGCAACTTCCATGTCCCAAAATGAGGACCGGACAATCAATTGTGTTAGTTCCATTCAGTAGAATACTGTGCAGACAGTAACTACAAAAAGCAACCCTGCATATATTGAGAAGAAAGGATTCAGGATAAATTAATGTTATAATGAAGAAGACCAGAACATGCACCCCAAAATACACCTCTTTGACATAAAAATTATCTTGAGCTGAAGGCAATTAAGAAACAGTAAAAGGCAGAAAAAGCTGTCCCTTTTTTTCTGCCTAAAGGCAGGAAATACATTATTTTACTGGAGACAGATACTTATCAGCCCATGGAATCTGCAAACAAATCTTGTTGAAGTCACCCTTATCTTCCTAGTTGCTTCTTCTCGCAGCCCAACTCCTTTGGCTTGCCAATTCTTCACAAATTTATTGTTTCTTGTTCTAAAGGGTATAAAAGCTTCCTGCTCTGTTCACTTTTTTGGGTCTTTATTCTGTCGAGAAGGTTCCTATGGACATGTAAAAATTCAATGAAATTTATATGCTTTTCTTCTATTAATCTGTCTTTGTCACTTTACTTTTTACTTTTTAGACCCAGCCAGGGACCTTATGAGGGTCGAGGAAAACATTTTCCTCCTCTACAATATTTTTTAATAAAATATAAAATATAGGTATAGATTTACTTGGGAAAGGATCTGGAAGGATATATACAAAGTACAATGCTATCTTTGGGTGGAGAACTTTGGGGGTGATTTTAGTTAATTTATTTTTTGTGTACTATAATAAAAAGAAAAATAAGTTTATTTTATTGAGGCTGTATTTCAGGAATGTTCATCATGTAACTGAGTAGAGTTTTGTTACTTGGTTTTCAAAATTGCTGAGAAATGGAGGTGAGATGTACTAAATAATTGAAGGTCTTGTGTTGTATACTTGAATTTATATGGACTTTTCCTATAAGACAGAGATAAAAACCTCACCCTGCCTTTTTTTTTTTTATTAACAGGCCTCCTCGTGCAGATATGGCAACAGGCAGTCATCACATTTCATCATTTCATACAAAACAGGCCTCTGGACAGCACAAATCATCTAATATGAGCAGGTCAGGAAGAGGGTGCGGGTGTTCCTGGGGGACCAGGGGAGAACAGTCCAACCCTTCGGTTAATTGTAATACTGATGTTAGAACAGAGCTCTGTATTTTACTAACCTGTGAAGTTGGGAGAGACCTGGACAGGTGTGTAGTGCCCATTATACAAATTAGGGAAAGAGACATGGAGCTGCCAAGGAGCTCAGTGAATAGGTGGCACTGTTAGATAAAAGCAGAAAAAACTAAATTCAACTTGTGGACATAGCTCCCTTTCTTTTTTATCTTAAAAATTTTTAACCATTTTATTATAAAATAATATAACCATATTGGTAAACATTGGAGAAAATAGAGGAAAGGAGAAACATAAACCATAATTATTATCACTTTAACACAGATTGCTAGAATTTTGGTATATTTCATTCCAGTCTTTTTCCTAGGGTTGTGTTTTTGGGTTTTTTTTTCTTCTATAGCTGAGCCATCCTGCTACCTGTTGGCAGCTCAGTAGCAGCTCAGCTCAGACTGGGAATTGAACCGCTGTTGTTCAGGGGTTGCACTCTTGAGCGAGCTTTTAACCAATTGGGGTACTTGGCCAGCCGGCAGGCTTGTGTTTTTTTTTATATGGATGTAACCATAGGGTTTTCATTGAATATTATATTATGACTATTTTTCTACTTATATTCTTCTCATATCCTTGGCTTAAAAGTGCATTTCAAGAAACATTCGTTGTAGAAAATTCAGGAAATGTAGAAAAGCACAATGGAGAGAATAAAACTGTATAACCAATACCATAACTTTTTTTTGTCATATATATAGAGATATTTTTTTTCTTAGTTGAGATCATATTAAATACACTGTTTAGTAACTTGCTTTTTAAAACTTAATATATCATGAAATTTTTCCTTTCCATTAAATATTTTTTATAATATCACATTTAATTGTTAAGTGCTGTTGCTTTCTTGCCCATTTTAGAATTAACTTAACCAGTTGTTTATTTTTAAACATATAAGTTGTTCCTTTATCAGTTTCTAAGGTAACTCTGTTACAACTATTTTTTTAGCGCCATGAAAAAATGCTTTCCATCCATCTCTAATATTTATTAAACATTAAATTATACAACAGAACTTTAGCATTTTGGATTTTGCATTTGAAATTTCAGCTATTTGTGAGTGTGTTCATGACACTCATGGACTTGGCAGTTGGTCTTAGGACTCATTTGTCACAATATAAGGAAGGGGTGCAATAATATGAAGATTGAGGAATGGAGAAGAAGTTGAAAATACTCTAAGGATCTTAAAGCATTTATTTTCCACATTCCTATTTTATTCCATATGTCTCTGCTCATGGAAACTTGAGCTTTCTTCAGAAATATATGTCCCTCCCTCAGAGTTATCCTCTGATCCATCTGATAGTTTCCTAGGTAACTACTGCATCAACATTTATAATGCTAAGTTTGAAAGCTATAATAAAATAGCTAAAAAATATATTGCTGAAAGCAGTAATAAATAAAGGGTATGATATTCAGAGATCGTTCTGGGCTGAATCTGTAGATGGGCAATCTTCAGTCTATATGTAGTTGTTGAAGTCATGAACCTCAGGTGCAATTTTCAAGAGAGCAAAACAAATGAGAAGAGAATAGAGGAAGGAACTTTTGGGAACATAGACACTGAAGGGATGGCTGAGGAAATGAGGGTTCAAACAGGAGCTGTGGAGATGTGTGTGAGAAGACTCCATGAGATGGTGGCTGTAAGATGGGCAAGGGGATTGAGCAGGAATTTGAGTTCTGGAATCTGGTAAAAAGAGCCAGGTGTTGCAGAGGTCTGCATGCATATAGGTTGAAAAGTATCCTTTACTTTTGTAGTTAGGTTCCAGAGACCTTTTCTTTGGAGGGTTTCAAGCAAGTTGGGGCAGGAGCCAGGCTCCAGTAGCTGAAGATGAATGGGAGGTGGGGGAAGTAAGAAAGTCAGTGTCAACTTTTTTTTGAAGCTTTCCCTGTGAAGAAGCGTGGAAGAAATTATGAGTAGACAGAAAACAAGATTGAGGGAAGTTATCTTTTTTCTTTTTTTTTTGCTGGTTTAACTTTAAATAGAAATGAGTAAGATTTATGGGTGCTTCTAAGTTGGAAAGGGGTCAGAAAAGAAGAGGATAAAGATATATAAAAGAAGTTCTGGCCAAGATGGCAGAGTAGGTAAATGCTGTGATTGCCTCCTCCCATGACCACATAAAAATAATTACAACTAAATTATAGAACAACCATCCTTAAAAAACACCAGAAGACAAGCTGAATGGAACTCCTGTAACTAAGGATATAAAGAAGCCACATCAAGATTGATAGGAAAGGTAGAGATGCAAAACATCTGGCCCCACACCCACATGTGGTGGTTAAGAATCGCAATAGATATCTCGGTTGTGCAATTCCCCCCTGAGGAGTGAGGGGTTCCAACCCTACACCAGGCACCCCAGCACAGGGCTCCAGTGCCGGGAAGAGGAGTCCCCATAATATCTGGCTGTGAAAATTAATGGCAATTCTGTCCAGCTGAGGTGGAGGGCTGCTGGAGTCCCAGGTGTTTACCCTACAGGACCTGTGCATGGACTTGGGTCGCTGATGGACACACTCACTCTGAGCTCCAGCGCTGGGCCAGCATCTCAAAAAGCTCCAGGGATATACAGGGAAGAATTTAATTGTCTGACTTCATGGCGAGTGTGGATGTAGCTCTGTCTGGGACAGAAGTGTTGGCAGGGGCCATTGTTCCTTTGCTGAGCCCTCGCGCCACACAGCCAGCAGATGCAGCCAGTAAATGTGAGTCTCCATCAAACTGGTTAACACGGCTCGCCCCACCCTGGTGATTCCCTGAGAACCCACCCCACCCAACTCATGCACAGGCCAGAACCTTGTCCAGTGACGGTTCCTCAGAAGTCGCAGGCCTCGGCCTGTGCTGCAGATTTCCCTAAAATTTCTCAAAGGTCCATAAACCCCAAAAGAGCAGCAGCTAGCCTCAGCATGCCCCATACCGCTTGCTTGGCTGCCCCCAGCCCAGCGCTAGTGGCAGCCAGCTTCAATTCACAGCAAACTCTCTACAGGCACCTCCAAGCCCAGCATAAGAACCGCAGATCATTTTGTAGCTCCTGCCAAGTGGCCCCCAGGCCAAGCACAGGCAGCAGCTGACCTTAGCCAGCATCAGAGATCCTTCACAGAGGCCCCAGAATCAACATACCCGGTTGCCAGCTTCAGACTACAATAGAGCACCAGCCAATTAGCTCCACAAATGACACACCCAAATGGTGGACTTAGCAGGCACCAGACTCTGCTGTAATGAAACCCACTGTGGGGTCAGCCCCAGGACAACAGCTCATCTGCTATAGTAACAAGAAGTCCTCATAGCCACTCAGCTTGAGGGTCAGTCCCTCCTATTGATGTGCCAACAACAGTCAAGATTCAACTACAACTGGAGGGCACACACAACACACACAAGTGACACCCCTGGAGCACCCGGCTCAGGTGACCAGAGAGATTGTGCCACTGGACTCCGCAGAACACCTACTACATAAGGCCACAAGGCAACTGGGAGATGTAGCAGATCTACCTAATGTATAGAAACAAACACAGGGAGGCAGCCAGAATGAGGAGACAAAGAACATGTCCCAAATGAACGAACAGGACAAAACTCCAGACAAAGAACTAAATGAAATGGAAGCAAGCAATCTATCAGATACATACTTCAAAAAACTGGTTATAAAGATATTCAGTGAAATTAGGGGAAGAGTAGATGAATTCAGTGAGAACCTACACAGAGATAGAAACCATCAAAAAGAACCAGTTGGAAATGAATAATACAATAACTGAAATGAAGAATACATTGGAATCAGCAGCAGATTAGATGGAGCAGAGGGTCAAATTAGTGATTTGGAAGACAAGGTAGCAGAAAATACCCAATCAGAACAGCAAAAAGAAAAAAGAAAAAAAAAAAAAGAGTTTACAGGGCCTCTGGGACAACATGATGTGTAACAACATTCATGTCATAGGGGCACCAGAAAGAGAAGAGAGCAAGGGATTGAAAACCTACTTGAAATAGTGACGGAAAACTTCCCTAACCTGGCGAAGGAAACAGACATAGAAGTCCAGGAAATGCAGAGATTCCCAAACAAGATGAACCCAAAGAGGCCCATACCAAGACACATCATAATTCAAACACCAAAGGTAAAAAACAAAGAGAATCCTTAAAATCAGTAAGAGGGCTGGCCGAATGGCGCGTTGGTTAATAGTTGGCTTGGGATGTCAGCTCTGAGCAGCAGGGCCTAAGGTTCAGATCCCACATGTGGGCCAGTGATGCTGCGCCCTCTACAGCTAAGACGGTGAACAACAGCTTGACCTGGAGCTGGGCTGCTGTGAGGCGACAGCATAGGCTGCAGTCCTGCTGCAGTGGGCTGCCGTAAGCTACCTGAATGGTTGGCAGCCGGTGTGAGCAGCTGGCAGCCAGCATGAGCTTGCAAGAGCTGCTGTGAGTGGCTGTCCAGTGACCGGCAACTGATCTGCCTCACCCGGGAAGAACGCAATGATAATACCAACATGGGCCAGAGAAGTGACGTCCTCCACAACTAAACTGAAGAAAAAAAAGAAGGACAGCAACTTGTCTGTTTCCCTTCCTTGATTCCCCAACACTGCTCCCCTCCCCCAATTCCCTAATAAAATCTTTAAAAAAAAAAAAAGCAGTAAGGGAAAAAGCAAGGGAGCCCTACAAGAGAGCTCCCATAAGACTGTTAGCTGATTGCTCAACAGAAACTTTGCAGACCAGAAGGGATTGGCATGAAATATTCTAAGTAATGAAAAGCAAGGACCTACAACCAAGATTAATCTACCCAGCAAAGCTATCATTTAGAAGCGAATGACAGATAAAGAGCTTCCCAGACAAGAAAAAGCTAAAGGAGTTCATCACCACCAAGGCAGTATTACAAGGAATCTTAGAGGGACTTCTTTAAGATGAAAAAAAAATAAAATGGTAAAACATATGAATATAAAA